AAAATGAACGAACTATCGTTCGTGAATCTCGCTCAGATCAAGCAAGTGGTTTCGTTCCTCCTCCTCTAAAAGATTTCGTATCCTGGGCCCAGTTATGAGCTGCAACTATGTCTGGGTCTGGAAGATTGCGAGATTTGTCATGCCTGTTTTGCACGACCCATGATCCCTGTAGTGCATGACCTAGCGTCACAGATTCGTAGAGGGCTTCCTGATGCCTATTCCGCATGACAGATGCCCTATCCGCGGAGCACAAAGTGGACTCGTATTGCTGGCCATACAATACAAATTTTTCTAGAATCCAAAAACAGCATCACAAGTTGCATCCTTTCAGACCCAGACATATTTGCAACGCATACCAGTTTTCATCTGCCTGCCCCCGTCCCCGCCGCCCCCCAGTCTGGACGTGGACAACAGGCTGCTTCCACTGTTGTTCTATCAACTGCAAAAGTGTCTGGGTCTGGAAACTTGTGATGCTAAAAGTGAATGGCAGACGGACCGCAATACGCAGCTACGCATGACAAATTTTTGGGCTCCCATGTCTTACGTATTCCGCATGGCAAACTGCGTTTTTGCATGACAGGTAATAGGGGCTTTTCGTGCCTATGCAACGCAGATTCTCGAGTCATGCCAGACAAGCATGACAAACTTGCATTCTTCCAGACCCAGACACTTTTGCATTTGATATGTTCAGACTGTTACTGTGGCCCGCGTTAAAGGAAAACACCTCTTCGTACGATTCGTAGTCGTTCTCGTTCTGTCGCACCGTGCGATTCCCGGCTTCTGAGGTTTTGTGGTATTACAGTGTAAAATACCCTCACCCCGAAACAAGTTGCAATAATTTGCAGCGCGACGTTTCCAAATTAAAACTTTTTGTCTTGCATGACAGGACTATGAATCTTTCTGATGCAGAGTCAAGTCGTAGTCGTATACGGCCTTGCTTGCATGACAAGCGCCGCTTTTGCTGGGATCTTTTGCAATACAGATTTTCATTTTTGCTGTTCGCGATTGAAAATCTGTGATGCTGATATTTTTATGCAAGACGGTGACGGTTTCTATTGGAAAGGTTTGCAATTTACAAATGCTCCCAAGTTCTTCTGGGGTGAGGGCATTTTTCATTGTCATATGTGGTCCGCGTAGTTTTTTTGGTGCTTCTCCAGACTGTCCCGCCGGTTATCCTGTGCAAAAGTATCGTAATTGCAGTAATCGTAATGCATATACAAAATTTTTTTCCGAAAGTAAATCCGCATGACAAATTTCAGTTCTCATGCTGAGGAAATTTGTAATGCATTTATACGAGTACGATACTTTTGCAATGCATACCGGTGGCGGCTGGTTGATCTTATTTGCGAACAATCACTCTTGCTCCGACTCGACGAGCCTGCGTTGCCACTGCCCGAGGAACTACTGCCCGAAGCTGCTCCACGACCCGGATGAACAACGTGAACGTTCTTGCCAACATTATTTTTCGGATTCTTCAGTCCCGTACTTCCGGAGTTGCTTCCACAACTCGGGTTGCTGTTTTCCTTGTTGGTTAGAGAATTATATGCTGGCTGCTCGTGTCTGTCCTGTTCTTGGTGTAGTCGTTCATCTTGCTGGCCTTCGATCTGCTTCAGCAAGCTTCCCAAATCGTGTCTGGCCGGGGGGTGATAGGCAGCAGTAGAACTGTTGTAGGTCTGCTTCTGTGACGATGTTGTCGGAATATTATTAAACGAGCTCGGCGCGGATGAATTTGTGCTGTGAATCTGCAGCGAAGCACTGGGGTTGAAGGAAGATGAAGAAGTCGCAATATTTGATGTTCCTCCACCTCCACTGTAGTTCATGTTTATCCCCAGTGCAGCTGCGTTCTGCTTCTGGAGCTGCAGATGATTATCGCTGTTGGCACGCTCCCGCGCACCATTGTTCATCGTGTTAATATTTCTGCCAGCACTACTTCGAGGACTTGGTAGTCTCGACGATTGCGACGGACCAGGAGCTTGCTGATGCTGTCCTCCGGAAGTTGTGGTAGACGTTGCTCCGCCACCGGAGCCTAACAAGCTGCCCTGACTGGCGGACGACCACATGGTCTGCATGTCCTTCTTATGCATTGCAAATCATATGTCTGGGAGGTCTGGATGGATGCGAACTTGTGATGCGCATTTCACAACACACAACAATCTCTCATGCAGAGGCAGCAAAAGATGCCTCTATTTCCTGTCACCAAAATGGGGAATTCGTCATGCGGATTAGGCAATGCGGAAGATAATTTTCGAAGTCTGTGATGCTAGGGCTTCCATGACAGACCGTCTGTGTCATGCAATAAAAGCAGCACCATGATAACCTCACCTCTTCCAGACCCAGACATATTTGCAATGCATACTTCTGAAATGCGTCCTTCGCGTTGTCGAGGGCCTGCTGCTGAAAGTTCATGTTTAGTTCAAATTTCTGCTTCTCCACGTCCACAAAGGCCTCGCGCTGCTTGCAGAGCCGCTCCCGGTCCTTCAACTTTTCAAACTTCAGCATGTACTCCTCCGCCAGCTTCTCCTTTTCCAGTTGCAGTGCCTGCTCTTTTATCAAGCGCAAATATGTCTCCTGGGTCTGGAAAGAACTTGTGATGCACATCAGTGAACACAAAGCGCACTTTAATGCTAATGCACCGCCAAGCATGACAGGTTTTCTCGTGGCTCTGTGTTGCGTATTCCGCATGAGAAACATCTCTTATTTTGCATGACAGACAAGAGGACGTCTTCCGATGGCCCTACGCAATACAGAGTTGAGAGTCATGCCAAACTAGCATGAGAAATCTCGCAATCTTCCAGACCCAGACATATTTGCAACGCATATCTTTCTCAATCAGTGTGGCCTTCTCGAACCGAGACTAAAGTGCTTTGAGGCGATTCTAGATAATTGGGCAGCACTGGTTTGCGGGTTCCTCGTTCTCGCGCTGGCCCCATCGTGTCGTGTTCCAGTACGATTTTAGCCACCATCGGTTTTCGCGCCACCAGCGATTATCCTCCGCAAAAGTCAAGACTGTGTTGCACTGAGACAATAACACATCCTGCGTAGACCGGGGATGGCGAACCGGAAGCGTCTCCGGGTCGATTCTTTCTGCTATCGCGCCAATTCCGTCTGCACTGGAAGACGAAGAGGTAGAACGTATTCCTGCTGCAGCTGACGATAGATTCCACTGGGAGTCTGAACCTAAAATGTGCATCAGCGGTCGGAGAGCGAAATGGGCGCGTCCTGTACCTGGTGACTCGACATCGCCTTGCGCATGTAGAGGAAGCATGCTGCTTACGTTATTCCGGTTCCTACACCAACGTTTATTCGGGTGGGACATTGGGCCGCGGCGGAAGGAATGTTTTGTTGATTTAAAATTGGTGAGAGACTGCTTTTTTGCCTTTCGTCCTCGCTGTTTACCCAGTCGTCGATGATGTGTGCCTGTTTTTTTGTTGTATTTGAAACCACGCCTGATCTTCTTTTTCAAGAAGAAATCCAGAATCTCCACCGGATTTTTCGCCAGGTTGTCG